GTCTCGACAGTTCTTTAAAACAGGAGATTTATCTCTTGTTTTCTGTTTAGGATTGGGTTTCTGGTTCCTTCTAAATTCTACTTCGTCTTAATACTTCTAACCTCTCCGCCTAAAACTTTATTATTTATTCATTTTTCTCCCTTCATAAGGTGTAGATAAGTTCGCCTATCGTCTGGTTCACACTCCACCCCGGTATGTTGAACAGGAGTAGAATCTTATCTTTTGTTTCCTGTTTAGGATTGGGTTTTTCCGGTACCTTCTAAAATTTTTTCCTTCTCTTTCATTTTCTTGTATCTTCGTGGCGTTATCGCCTTTCTTGGGGTGAATTGATTAAAAAATAAATTATTTTGTTCGACATTTGTCGGTCGGCACAAACTAGGCCATGTACATAATCAGCAATTTCAAGAGTTGAGACCGCTAATTTTCAATAGCAGAAAAATGGAAAGTGCCATACTTTCTGTTGGCATGGTCAGTCAATAATCTGGAATCAAATTCTGCAAATTGGAAGTTTACAATATAAAAAAAAATTCCAGCTACAGTAAGAAAATAATGTCTAGATTTTGGAAAGTGGGTCGGAGTAAGAATTTTTTCACACAAAGCATGCGAAATAAAATTCTTCAAAATGAGACTGTTTGTCGACGAATTATATCAAAGTACAAAGAGGCAGGGTCAATGGAATATCGACACCAGCGCGACGTTGGTTTCAGGGACTGGGCAAGTTTTGGCCTTAGCGCATGTGCACGCGCTGGGGCTCCTCATTTGGGTGGACCAGTAAATGCTAAGTTTAATATCTGTTCTCCTGTCTCTAACGATAATATTAGCCATTTCCTTATAAGGAAACATTCGACATTTATTGCCCGAACAGCCAATGATACTTAACTTTCGCTTTTCTTCACTTTCTGGCAATTGGGCTGGGATCAAAAGTAATATCTGTTCTCCTTATCGCTAATCGTAATTTTAATCGTTTCTTTAAAAGGTAACATTCGGCATTCATTCAGCGAACAGCCATTTCTACAGCCGGTTAAAATTTTTAAAATCTTACTCTTAAAACAATTTTTCAGCGAAATAGGTTTTTTCAAGTCCACTGTTAGCATTCTTTTCCATATTGGTGGGCGTTTCTTTCCTAAACTTTTGTTCGAAGTAGTATGGAACATCAACATCCTGATTGTGTCATTATTTTCTCATTGAGTTACATGAGCTATCCATTTTAGATGTTGCTGCTGTTGGTAGTCCTCAAGAGATGTGGTTTTTGCAATTTGCTAAAAGTTCTATGCGATTCTGCAACGCTAGTCTGAAAGACCCGAAGAAGAATAGTTTAGCTATTTCAAAGCGGTTACGACTGCTCATATAAACGATAAGAGACTAGAAAAACTTCTTATTCAAACTTGTATGATTGTTTGAGGAATGGATATAGGGAAAGACGGGGAATAAGCTCAGGGTGTTGGATGTCGCACGAAGCCTTTTTTAAGCAGCGATCTGAAAAGGCGCTTGTATAGAACTGACAGTTTAGCTATTTCAGAGCGGTTACGACTGCTCATATAAACGATAAGAGACTAGAAAAACTTCTTATTCAAACTTGTATGATTGTTTGAGGAATGGATATAGGGAAAGACGGGGAATAAGCTCAGGGTGTTGGATGTCGCACGAAGCCTTTTTTAAAGCAGCGATCTGAAAAGGCGCTTGTATAGAACTGACAGTTTAGCTATTTCAGAGCGGTTACGACTGCTCATATAAACGATAAGAGTCTAGAAAAACTTCTTATTCAAACTTGTATGATTCTTTCAAGTTTTAACAATAAATATTACTTCCTATGTACAGTAATATTTTAATATCAGTTTACCCCAAACCATAGTCGTACGGAAGTTTTACAGGGAAAACACAAAGAATTTTCCCTGAAAATGTACACTTCGCTTAACCTGGGGAGACTGCCCTCCCATCCCAGATTCCCGCCTTGTACGCCTACGCCCATAACGTCGAAAGTAACGGTGTCTTTTTCTAAGTACTTTCTAAGGTTCTCACAAACGTATTTAAATATATATTTACCAGCTAATGTATTAATACACAGCAATTATAATTGACTCGGTTTATTAATCAGCAGGAAATAAAGACTTACTCATGACTGAATGTATTATAAGTAATTGCACTCAAATCTGAGCAAATTTTAATACCTCTGCTGACGCCAGCACGTCTTTAGCAGCTCAAAAAATATGAAAAACTTAAAATTAACCAAAAAGAGTTACTAAATACGTTATTTTATACTGTATTCAACGATTCTACAAATTCTTATAATTTAGCCACATCAAAATGTATTTTTTATATTTATTAGACCCAAGCATAAAAACCTATCATCTAAGAAATTTGCGGACTAATTATCGAATAAAAAAACAGTCCCAAATCCTAAGTCGCTTATAAAAAGAAATCGCGTAATTTATGGCCAGTAAAATCTTATAAAAGACAATATAATAAGACAATATAATAAAAAAAATACCTGACATTGAAT